TACAAAATGAAGCCTCTCCTCTTACAAACAATTGTTCTAAAATACGCCTCAAATAAATTATTGATACTGATAAACGGAAAAAGAAGCAAAATATATTTGACGAGCAATGGAAAAATAAAAGAAATGAAATGGCCCTGAAATTTGGTCCCAAAATTTTTTTACTTTTTATAAATTCAGTGAAATTTGGACTACTAAAAAGCAGCAGAGATAGTCTCATTTTCAATACTTCGTATAAAAATCATCAAATTTACTGGATTAAGGAATTTTGCCTGTAATGGCCTTTATCCTTAGCGAACAAAATTTGAATATCGAAAACAAGTTTTTTAAATAGTGTACTGTTTTCTTCAGGTAAAACGCTTAAGAAAATTTTGTACAAGCTGCGTGAAAAATAATTTTTGTGTAATGATGAGGCTCGACATATGGGCATCTCGACCTTACTTAACAATGAACAAAAATGAGGTCACGACGCCAAAACTAACCCGATCACTGCAACACACTCCCAAGCTGGTAGAACCAGTTTTAAAGGGAAAAACAACATCTCTGTCAAATGGAAATTTCTAAAGCTCGTCCTTTTCTTCGGTCGGTGCGGCGCCTGGCGGTGGTGGGCCTTGATCCTTGTAGAGTTTGCTGATGATCGGCTGTATTTTGCTCTCCAGATTCTTCTTACGCTCTTGCAACTCCTCGACAGAGGCACCCTGAAGCAATCAATTGTCACTCTGCTCATCTTTACAAAAGTCTCAGGATTTCCAGGAATTGTGCTAATCCTAAAAAAGCGGACATGAAAAAGATTACCTTGTTGCTATCGAGCCATGAAATGGCTTCATCGATGGCACTTTCGATCTCCTTCTTGTCGCTCTCGTCCAATTTTCCGCCCAGCTTCTCTTTGTCACCGATCTGGTTCTTCAACGAATATGCGTAACCTTCCAGTTCGTTTCTCGCCTCCACTTGCTCCTTCACCTAAAAATTGAGGAAAAACTGATGGGATGCGCCGGAAACAAACGGTACCAGCCCTGATTTCTCATTAAAAAGACATAAAACTTATTAAAAATCAAAAAAAAAAA